AGACTAGACAAGCTCTCCGGAGTAAAGCATCGCTCAGATTCGTAATGGCAGCGCTTCGGGATCGACGCGAACGATGCAGTCGAAAGCATGCGTATCGGTCGTCGAGTCGCGCGACCGAGGCGCTACAGTCGCAAAGTCTGAACACTGCCTAAAGTAAGCTGAGTGATGGCAGCGCTTCGGGATCGACGCGAACGATGCAGTCGAAAGCATGCGTATCGGTCGTCGAGTCGCGCGACCGAGGCGCTACAGTCGCAAAGTCTGAACACTGCCTAAGGTAAGCTGATACGCTTTACAGTTGTCGATCTCCTTTCAAAGCGTGCCGCGATTTGACCTCTATTGAAAATTATAAAGCTCCTAAAGAAAGAATGTACGCTCATCTCCAAGGACGCTCCTCGCCATATGCGAGGCGAATGGGTCCAGAATTATAGCAGCGTGGCACTTCCTCTGCAAAAAAGTGCACGATGACGGGGCCGGAGGGTAGTGATTCCCAGTTGCCGTCTCCTGACTTCAGCTGTGCTATGCTATAAGTGCAATGCTTGTTTCAATACCAAGATCCCGCAGCGAACACTGAGCATGTGGTAGAGAACAACCAGAAGTGGGAGGGTGCAGACAAGCAGTGCGTCCGGCTACGGTTGAGCGGCAGAACGGACGGAGTGTGGTGTATTATTACTATCTACAGCCTAATGAAATTCCGACCGAAAAAGTGGCACTTTACTGCATCTGCGACTTTCAGGATCCACAATGATCTCCGAATGCGTATTGACCTATATGACGAGCGACGGAGCGAACCCCTGTGCAGATATTTGAGTTAGTTCTTCGAGACGGTAGTATGATCCTAATCAAGCCCGAAACGAAGGAGGTTAGGTTATATAGCGGAGAAAGATTCTACATGGGATTCTAACCTCGGGACATATCTGCTATGGCCATACCACTTAGCGCTACCCCGTTTTCGGCATGATATAGTGGACGGTTCACGATCAAAAGTGTCGAGAATATGACAAAGTACCATGCTTCGGAACTTTCAAAGAACAAAAAAGCAAAAAGACTTCTTAGGCTGCGTTTATACTTTGCGGCAGCGTAGCGTAGCGCTTCCAGCGTACGCCAGCGGCAGTGCCGAAGAGAGGATGCATATCGATCTAGCTTCACCAGCGTCACCAGCGGCACGCTAGCGCACGCTGGCGTAGCGAGGGCACGGAGAACAAAGTACTCTCCTCCGTTCAGTGCTCTCTAGCCCCTCTCTAGCCCCGTCGCTGCAAGCGCTGGGAAAACGCTGGTGAAGCTAGATCGATAGCTATGCTTCCCGTGCCCTCGCTACGCCAGCGTGCCGCTGGTGACGCTGGTGAAGCTAGATCGATATGCATCCTCTCTTCGGCACTGCCGCTGGCGTACGCTGGAAGCGCTACGCTACGCTGCCGCAAAGTATAAACGCAGCCTTTAAGTTTTTGAGTCTAAGATGTAGCAGAACACTTGAGAGCATCAATGTACTGCCACATTCAACACAAATATCCTCTCTTATTTCCTTTCGTATTCTCACCTACTTATCTAGTATTGCGAACTTTCTTTCCAGAAGAACTCACTCGAATACTTGCGATTCAACACTTTCTTAATGATGGCTGCTCCGTCTCTTGTCGGATCGTAGCCATGCATCTGCCTTTCCGTCGTCTCCTCGATCAACTCATGCAGCGCACGTGCGTACAGGTACACCGCATCGTACAGATAACACGCAAAACGGTTTACCTTAAAGGCGGAATTGATGTGCATCCCACGGATTTGCTTTTTAAGAAACCAGAAAAATTGCGGATAAAACAATATAAGTTCTGTTAGGCTTGGGAGAGGCATTTTCCACATTCTTTGGTTTCTTTTGCCATTCTACATGAATAGAAGGCTACACTTGGTCAGACCTGCGATTCCTGTGAAGCTATGAAATGGTATAAGTGAGCCATTTTGATCACAGGAATTTATAGGCCTTCATAAGGTAGCCTGAACTAACTTTGCTGAATACCAGCTTGATGCTCCACCAAGCTGAACTGTGCATCAAAATAAATAATTTGTGTTATCTCAGTATTGTGCTTCCCGGAGCCTCATTGCAATCTGAATGTAAGACACATAAAAGAGGCAGCAAAAATTTTATGCAAAAAACTCCAAACATCAGAAGAATTCGAAAGTTTCCGCAGGAATTTCAATTATTTTCCAATTGGGCAGCTAAATGCGGTATTTCAGATCGCTGAAGAAGGTGCTAAGCACCGAAATATCCGAAGGAAGGAATAGAAACAATTAAAATTTTTGCGAAAACTTTTGGATTCTTTTGGATCTTTGAAGCTTTTTGCAATAAATTTCTGGTGCCTCTTTCATGTGTCTTACATTCAATGCGTTATGTTGCTGGTGACAGTCATCCTTCAGACTTCAGAATTAACCCCTTTATAAGAAAAAAAACTGCAGCATATGGTATCGGAAAAAACTGAGGATAATACAAAAATCGCGTTTTTCAATTTTTATGCGTTTTTTGATCTTCAAAACACAAAAAAATCCGCAGGCTTCCCAGGAACATTGAATCTGAAGAAAGAAAATGTCTTTGCTTAACCTAAAGGAAATCCAAACAATACGCCTGGAAATCGGCGCTCCGAGGTTTTTCGCTACATATAATTTTACCGCGTTGAAGCCACTCAAAATTTATTACAACGTGCCTTCCTACGGTTTACTGTGTCACACTGCTTAACCCTTTGATATTAAAGACAATCCCCGCGATCAAGTACTACGAGTAGTGGCTGTTTCGGCATGAACCATCAACCAACAAATGACTTCCCTGTGTGGAAAAAAGCAAAAAGAAACTTCAAGAACACCACCAGTAAATCTCTCACTCAGTCACGCAGCCTCATTGTACGAGTTCTGCAGATCTGCTGGCAACTAGACACCTTGCGGCCTCTGTACAACCCCTGGCTCACAGATAGTTTCTTCGCATCTTCCAGTACTAAATGGCATCTAACACAAGAAAAAAAGAAAAAGACAACAATGGACCGGAACATAGCCTTTGCATACACTGTGCACGAAATTAGGACTACGGTGAGCGACGCATGACGATCTTTTGCACTAACTCGATTGCATCACTGCTGGCTTCCACAAGCGCTGAAACGCATATTGCCATGCGAGCAGACTGTTACCGCTTACTTGCTTCCAGAAGAGAGGGCATTATAACTCGTTAGCTCACAAGGACTCGGCGAGCAAAGACTTTCGATGTCGTGGATGTATTAAATCGCCCTACGGCGCTACAGGTAACAGAATGCATACTAGTAATTCTTCGCGTGAGTCGTTGTCTCGTAGACTGAAAAGGACAAAGGGTATAAGAGCCACGCGCTGTGACCGTTCTATCTCGCCTTTTCGAGTGATGAAAAAGTCACATTTATGCGAGTGCGGACCTGGATACCATATGCACGGAGGCATTTCGCGGAACACTTGATCGCGAGAGCTGTCTTTAAACAGCCACAGACGCACGACTAGATACCATTTCCAAAAGGAGCTTTTCCAAGCTATAAGGCATAAGCGGGAGAAAAAAATCTCCCTCTCTAATCCTTGGTGTAACACGTCTTTCTACTGCCTACGGAATAAATACCGTACTTCTTTGGTCCCTTCATGCACATCATTCTCTATAGCGTTCAGGTATTTTCTGTTCACAGCATCTCTAAAGTGTAAGGCATAGCTGTCACTAAGACGACGTCTTTCAAATAATAAATGAACAATGTTCAGGAAAGATCTAAAAAAAACCCTGCTGCAAGCCGGTTGTCTATCTAGACGGGTAATCTATTCCAGAAATCCAATTGATGATCTTCTCCCTTTCTATCTCTTAACCATCTTCAACAATATAAAAAACAGTAGACACATCAATCTCTCCCTCCTACAGATATAAAAAGGTATGGTTGAATTTATGACATCTTTCCTACCATACATATATCACAAAAGAAAAAAGAAATGTAAAGGCTACAGAAAAAAGAAATTGAGGAAACAAAACCACAGTCCTCACCTTAATGGACCACGTGTGCTCATGCTTTGTGATACCGAAATTGGCCAGGTCTTTCACAGCTTGTGCCCAGAACTTTTTGAATCTGAAACAAAAGTGCTTCGATGAAAGTTACGGTCGAAACTGACAGCAACACTGCGTCGCGATCTACGCACCTATCTGAATTAAGCTCAACTGGAGTAGGAATGATTGCTAATGCAGCTCGTGAATAGC